GTGATGGTGCGTATGAGGAAATAACGTTATCCCTAATTTGTTTTTAAAAACTTCAATTATTAAACGTATTCTGATTGAGCGAAACATGTTTATAAGCAATTAATTGTAGCCACGTGATTTTTAAGTGTCACTGGCATGTATTTCTATTACCGAAGGATATTCCGTGGATTATATTTAACAGGAAAAATATGCCACTATAATAATATAGCCATGGATTCATCAAAGCGGATTTAAACTCTTTTATACTTGATGATAACACACCACAAAACAAATATGGACAACAAGCATTTATCCCTGATATTGGGAACCGGTCATTGTCTTCAATCGGTATGTAAACATCTTCTACTGCTGATATTGACTTAACTCCATAATTGTTGTGTCTAGATGAATTATCTAACAATCGCGAGTGTTCAGTTTTTAAACCTTCATCTGCTGTAACAGCGTTACTTGCCCCGGCAATTATTTTCGGCATATTATATTGCTGCTGAACCGCTACTGGTGGATGTTGTTGGATTATTCTAGTTAAATTGCTCGTATTGTGATGGTCGTTGTTTCTATAATTTCCTAAGTTATTAATAATATTTTATTTATTTATTTATTTTATTTATTATTATGGATATTTTAAATTAAAGATTACTTACTACTACCTTCGCCCGAGGAAAAATACATGTTTATTGAAAAGAAGTGAAAAGTTAAATATTTTTTATCATTTTAAAATTATCAAAGATATATATATAATTTCTATGGTTCCTGAATATAGGAATAGTAATGGTAATAGTTGATAAATTTTTGTACTACAAATTAACTTTCAAATTAGTATAAATGTATATTGATATTAATATTAAGAAATGTCCAATCGGAATTCGGATTCCACCGAAAATTTTTAGTGGCATCTTTTTATTGAAATCCTTTCCGAAGAAAAATCTGAGCAGAGAGTTCATTAAATGGCCTAAAAGATGTCATTTTATTCATATGGGGAGGAAAATGTATAAATGTCACCACATTGGAATTTATTTTTTTTTAAATGAAATTTGAAGCAATTGCACCACATCCAGAAGTTCGAATGAAGGATCAATATATCCATTTGATTTTAATTCTTTTATTTCATCAGTAAAAGAACTTTTCTTTTCTTTTTCAATACAAATATTGTAAAAATACAATATATTCATTCACCCATGTTGATAATTAGGCTTCTTCGTTGAATATTTAAAACTGCATTCTGCTTTCTAAAATAAATTTTTTTAAAATTAATGTTATAATCAATATTATTGTGGTGTACTTGTTTCCTAACCTTTATATCTTTGAGAATTATTGACTTTCATTAATTGGTTTTGATTGATAGTAAAAATAAAAGAAGAGGAGGAGGGAATAGCAGTATAAGTAGTTGTGGAAGTAAATTGTTGGATAATGAGTTATTTATATCAGGCAATGGTAAACAATAAAACAACTTACAAGGTTTATTATTATTATGGTTAGGTTGGTTTGAATTAGAAATATAAATCATATAACAACTACCACATAAACAATTTAATGTTTTCATTATTATTATTATATTTTTTGATGAGCTCACGACAATCTTTTCCATTTCTTGATTTACTAATTTGACAGGTATTTTTCTTTACACTCACTCATTTATTATAAATATTTATTATTATAAATGGTAATTTTTGAAATGGTATTCTTTTTATTGGTTATTTTTTAAAATGGGATTACCATAACAGCTCGTGATTTTATTTTATGTCTATATAAATGATTAACTTTTAAATATCACATGAACAAATTGGCCAGGACCACCCACACAATCCGAACTGGTATTCCACAGCAAACTCTAATTATATTTGTCATCCTGGGCCCATTTAAAAGCTATTGGCATAAAATTTTCTCCGAACATCTGATTTCTTGTCATTTTTAAAAATATGCATTAAAAAAAAATGTTCGATAATGTTTCCTTTTACTTTTATATTATGTGTAGCTCTCCTTAATGAGTAAAAACAGTCCTAAATTTTATCTTTATCTCAAGTTCTAAAGGTTTTCCTTCCTTAAAAGAAACATATTTTACTATGTTATGGATGGAGTTAACTTTGATGAACATACGGTTAGGTAAAGTTTCACAATACCAATTCGTTTGAATTATGCGAGTAAATAATGATCGCTTTGAACGCGTTGGCCAATCAGAAATTTGTATGAAAGCGTTTAATTATAAAATTACACGATTTGTCAATTAATGTATAATAAATCTTTCCATTTCAAGTCATGTGCTCTCACGGTGTAAAGACTCCGTTAAATCTCAAATGATTCAAATATCTATTTTTGTATGCTGTCAATTTAACAAAATCATCCTTACATATTTAAAGCCATCAGGTTTCGCCGATCAATCTGTTAAATATAAAATTCGTGACATATTTAATAAAACTTACCCAATAAAGGTATATATATTGTCATTATTGGCTTTATGACACTTCACAAAATGATTTTTTCATATATTGTACTGAATCAGAAACAGAGATTCGAGTATTGCTACATGAATTTAATACACATCAGGATTCTGTATATCAAACAGAAACGAACAAAATTTTGCTATTCCTTTTTAATATACTGTATATTTAATCATGCAATAATTATATAGATCGTTCTCTTCATTTCGTTCTGTCTTAATATATTTTCTATACAAATTACCTAAAGTTTTAATTTCATTTGAAACGTACATATTTGTTTGAAATGCGATTCTTTCGTTGTCACAATTCGGTAACATTAATTCCCATAATGAATTATTATTATATTCGTCAACTGTGTAACGTTATACCAGATTGGCGTGACAGAAACAGATTAGATAGTTATCATTTACTATATATATAATTCTTATCTTATCTATGCGTATCATTTCTGAGGATAGAAAGATCGTATACCGGTAGAAACAATGTAATTTTATTTCAGTGTTGAAGAATTGATTTCTAAAAATTAGCAATTATTATTACTATACAAACAATCAATTTCCTTCTAGAGAATATGGAAGTATTTCTCAGAACATAATAATCATTATTATTATTATATTTAATAGCGTTAATAGTGTGTGTAACCGTTGTTATGCAAACGTTTACACCCACCCAACATGTTAGTTGATAATCCAATTGATCTTTAAAAAAGAACATAAAGAAAAAAAATCTAGTAAATGTAGTATGCATGGACACTTTGCTAAGACTTGTATGTAACGTTGATAACTACTAATGTGAGGTTATAATGCATTGGAGTTGGGTTGGGTTGGAAAGCGAAAGGAACGCTATTTGAGATGTTTTAAGCATAATGGACATTCGAAATGTTACACTAATTTTTTATGTTGTGTACCGTAATTTTACAATACACTGTGAATGTTGTCTCAATAAAAAATTGTCGATAAAATGGATTTCAATTTGTTCGCAATTTGTTCATGAACCTAGAGAGGCGACAACTATATACTGGTGAAGTTTCAGGAACAACGGACTCTGTGTAACATATCGTGTAACGACGAATGTCCACTATGCTGATGTTTTATCAATCATAATAATTTATTTATAAAACATGAAAATCCGTCACTCCAAATTAATTAATTGCAGCCCAACAACAACAACAACAACAACAACAACAATAAATAATAATTAAAAAAACAAACCGATCATTTTTGAAATATTAAAAAATGACTAAGATTTATTGAAAAAAAAAACTATCCATCATATAAATTTTTTTTCTCAAGAATCAGATGAAATTAAATTATCATATCTAAAAATCTCATAATGTGTTAATGTGTAGGTTTTTAAAAATTTTCATGTCAATTTTTTTTTCTTTTTTTTTTATTAGGGAGATAATGTATATCTTCAATGGTATCCCGAATCCTTTTATTATTTCTGTATTACTTACATCTGCATGTTCAACAACAGATAATTCTCTACTTTTAGTCATTTTATTAAAGTATTATAAATGAAATTTTTTTTGGTTTAAAGCTCATAAAGTCATTAATATAAAGCTCGAGATGGTATCAATGAATAATATTAATATTATTTCTTTATATGCCCATTATTATTAAACATTTCATTTTCATATTACTACTGCTTTAATGTATTGCTTCTATTCGAGGTAATTATGTTTAAAATTATAAATGTTATGTTTTGATGAATTCTATATGATAATGACAAGGTAATAAATAATATATTTACCATGTCTATTAACTAAAAAACAATTATATTAGATAAATGAATATATTTAAATGAATAAGATATCAATGTTCTAATTGATAAAAATAAACGTTTACCACCTACATGTAAAGTCTTTCTTTAAATTTGTAACATAAAAAATAATTTAATAATATACAAATAAAGTAGAAAATTACATTATAAAGAGTCTTCGTCTCTAATGAACCTCGTGAATATTCAATTTAAATTGTATATTATCTCTCAAGTAGTAGTATTAAAAAACTTTTTTTGCCCCAAATAAAACTCCATGTATATTGAAGTTATCTAGATGGCCAAAGTAGTAACTATGTTTTTTTCCTATTACACATATATAGGTTTATTTATGTAAATGAATTTTCCTTAGTGGAGTGAAAGTTACTATTTATTTTTCCTCGCTTCTGGTAAAAGTATATGACCAAGGCAGAAACTGCGTTTTTTTTCATTTTGCATGGATATTATTATTATTATGTAAATAACTAATCGAAAACGCACTTTACATATAAGTGCTAATCAATAGGAGTTTGTGGAATTTTTTGCTTTAAGTTTTTCAATACAAAATGTTTTTACAACCTATCAATACTTATATCTCTAATCTTATACTTTTACAAAACTGCCCTAGAAATCTTAATTGAGAATAATCAAAATTAATTTTTCTAGTGAGGAAGCTCGGATTCATTACAACGTTCAATGTTACACGTGGCAGACAGGGTTAATCCTTGAGTTTTACGAACAGCCAGAGCAAATGCATTTTGAAGAAGAACAGATTTTTTGATGCTTTCTTACTATAAATTTCAAAAAAAAAAAAAAAAATGCTTCTTTCTTCCACTGATCGTTCCCTCGGTGGACATATTTTATTGTTATTACAATTATTATTATAAATATCATTTATTTCTTTTTTTACATTTTAAGTAAAGGTTTACGCGTTTAATATGTGGCTTTAACACTATTCAAAAACTTGTCAAATGATAAACAACCGAATTAATTTTAGCATGACAAAAAGTAACTTCTTACATTTTCGAAAAGGCATGGTTGATTTCTTTAATAACAATGAACCAGTTCCAAATTGTTGTAGCGGCGGGGAAATATTTTGAAAAAGGCATGGCTGTTTAATATTAAAAATAATAATTAATTAATCCCGAATTGTTATTACCTTTTTTTGGTGGTGGGAAAGTGTTTTCTTCACATTTTCAAAAAATGCATGGCTGTTTAATATTAACGATAAGTAGCAGGAATTAGTTGATTCCTTTAATAATAATGGATTGATTCCAAATTGCTTAGTGGTGAGAAAATGTTTCTTCACATTTTGAAAAGGTTTGATTTAATTAAATAATAATTTTTTATTATAATTATAGATACAACCTTTGAACGTTTTATAAAATTTGGGGAATGTTTATGGATAATAACTGATAATGAAAATATACAATGCAACCAATTTTGCGAATCTCAAAATTTCCAAGAGAGATAGTATTATAAATACAAAAATATCTATTGCAAATTTAACATAAAATTTTAAAACATGCAGTTTCAGATGACTTTGTGGAAAGATACACGATTAGGTAGTGTGAGCGTGCAGTCCGAGTTTGGTTAATCAATGTGATTCACGTACAAAAGGTGAGCCACTAGCCTTTCTAGTGATTTTAATTATGTTGGTTCTGGCCCTACCTAAGGTTGTGGGCGAAACTCCTCCAGAAATCAATTGACAGAGTTTTGACAGGTTACACATTAATTTTTAATTAGAGTTTCGGCAGAGTTTCGCATTTGAAGGTTTTGTCAATCATCAGAGTTTTGACAAGGTATATACTAATTGTTCATTAGAGTTTCGACAGAATTTCAACAGTCACCAAGAGGTTTTGGCAAGCAACCTTAGCCCTACCCCAAGATAATTGGAGATTTTCCCACTTTATTATTACTGGCACACAGCCTAATATAATGACCTTTTTATATTGTTACTGGTACACAGCTGCAATATAACTCAGGCTTTCCTCTTATATATACTGTTACTGGCACGCAGCCACAATATACATCTCTCTCTAATATTACACACATGGCTAGTTTTCAATCTCTGAATAATTACAGCTTTATATCCTCCAAAAACATTCCCTTGGTAATGTTTTTAACAAATGTGACTTTTGTGATTTCTTGCTTTGCAGCCAAAGTTATTTTATTACAAGTGTATTAACTAGCAATTAATTTTATGTAAAAGTGCTATTTTATTTGTTAGATTGTTATTGTTATATTACCAAGTTGGTTATAAACATGAACATGATTTTTTGACTTGTTCTAAAACCAAGTGTATTTATACTGTTGCAAGCTACAAGCGAGTGATGTGTCCAATAAATATATAAGAATAAAATAATGCAAAAAGTCCAATATTTATGTAATCCCCCTTAGCTCCTAGCTCAAGGGTTCCAATTCCTAACAATCAAATTTCTTCAGTACTGCTGGCACACAAAGCATGATGGAAGTTCGATTTATCACATTTATCACTTTGTGAAAATCTCAAAGGAGTACTTCGGTATAATGAAAATAAGTTTTACAATTGCACAAAAATTATTTACATAATAAAATTGATTCTTCATATCCCAAAGAAACTGATGATTTATTAATGTTGTTGGTATGATTTTCACAAAAACATAATAATTCTATTCTAACCTTGAAAAGATTAATAACAAAGTTGCTCTAAATTTCATTTATTTAGTCATAACATCCAAATTTGTTGATGATCTACATATTTCAACATTAAATCAATTTTCAAAGTATATTGGTCAGTCATATGATTTTGACATGTTTTTAATTATTTTAATTGGTAGGTTTCAATAGACAATGATTGGATTTTTAATGTATATACAATAAAAATGAAACAGTTCCTGGTGAGGTAGTGTTTCAATTTAAATGAGATAGTATTCAGTTATCTCCTGAATATTTATTTCATGATATAATTAAAGGTTGTGTATATTCATTTGTGGGATCTTTTTTTATGCCAAAATTAAAGTAAGTTTTTTGCTGCAAGTGGCCAATCATTGATGATAATATTTCAATGAATTAATTGTATCCTTTTCATATTATCTATTAGTTAATAGTTTACCAATCAATCAAACTCAACATACACATCAACGGTCTGAATGAGCCTGAAGAATCCTTGCCATTGGCAATGACACTTTCTGGAGAGATTATTGAGTTATCAAGATAGATGATGATAATGATTATGTTTAAAATTTCATGCCAAGTGTACAATGCTTTTTGAAAGAAGACAAGGGTGAAAAAATATAAAGATCTCAGTAGCAGGGCAAAAATATCATGTTTCATGATTCTGAAGGTTTGTAGGTTAGTGAGAAGCAAGAAGCTATTATTGCAAGTAGGCATTCTTAAATCCAAGAATTTCATCATCATCATCCAACAGCACAAAAAAGTAGTGCATACATTTTGGCAACAGTTTGCTTCAGATGTTTTGGAGGAAATTTACAAAAGTGGTCCATTATTTGAAGTTTCATACAACTCTAAATTTTAAAAATAACAAGAACACAAAGGTCTCGACCACCAAAAGATTGAAGAATATAGAATCGTGGCTATTTCACAGTTTATCAACAACAACAAATTCTCCACAAATGTCTTTGGCATTATCTTCTTTCTAGTCAAATTTCTCTCCACAAACACATTTGATGTTGCCTTCCTCCATCTCATCAACAGCAATGACAGAAGCAACAGGTAGAAGTGGTGAAAGATCCTAATCATAATGATTTTTACCAAGGGGATTTATAGGATGTTGCCATTACTAATATCAACGTTAATAAAAATAACCATGAAGCTAAATAATAATAAAAAAACAGAAACAGAATGTAACAACTGAAAAAGTTGATAAAATAAGCATGAAACAATCAAAAAAAAAAAGAAAACAGAATGTAAATAGAATAATCTGTGCACATTAATAATTGAAAAAAGCTGCGCCGTTCATGCTGCTGCTACTATTAGATGCACTCTACTGGATTGCAAAGTTTGTTATGAAATGGGGGGTTTTTTTTAAGTTACATTCATTGTTCTATATATAAATAAATGATAATTTTTTTTTTCACATTTATTTAATAAAATATTTTTTATTATCATATCCAAATTATAATAATTCCACTTCTTAAATGCTATTGTCTTGGGGAAATTCTTGTTCAATATAGTAATAAATAATCATAAGTAATATCAATTCTTAATAATTATATGTTTTTTATATATAATGAGAATTTTAATAGTTACTTTTACCATTAATGTTTATTATATAAAAATTAAAAGAAATAAATTATGTATATTAATATTTAAGTATCAGTATCCCTTACTAGCAATAATACCAAAAATTTGTTATGGCACAGCTAGCAAATTCGTTTTGATTGTAATAGTAATAGTAATAATAGTAATCTGCGAATTTTTCAATATGCTGCAGTTGCAGATGATTTTGCGATGATTATGCATCCCAACCTTTTAAATATAATAATAAAAATTCCCAAATATTTACATAATTTACTTCATTTTTTTGTTTTAATCAAAGGCATAACGATCCAACTTGCGTAACCTTTCTACAGAGAATTTCATTACCAATTTCATAAAAATGGCTCCTAAAACGGGATTAGATTTCATCATACTTAAATAAGAAGCTTGATCCATTTTCCATAGAACACATAGAGTATTTGTCTCTAAATTTGCTGGTCGCTGATTATCAGTGAAAAAACCTAATTCACCTACCATGGTAAGTGGTAAGATTCTCTCAATTACATTTTTTTTGTTGTTTTCTGCCGAAATCCATATGCTCAATTGTCCTTGCTCCACCACATATATACAATGTGGATTATCACCTTTTGACCACAGTGGCGAGTCCTTTTGTACTTCTTCTTTTTTAAAATATGGAACTAACAAATTAAAAAATTCTTCTTTTTCATTTGTAATTTCCTTAAATGCTTTCATCAAAATATTTACAAGTTTGTTTTTAC